AGACCAGACTTAATGGTCTGACTGAGACTGGAGGCACCCCAGAAAGCATGGCCCCTGGTCTCTCTATCACCCCAGAACTAAAAGAATTTCCAACGCCAGCTCTCCAGACAGGGATTGTGGGACATAAAGTGATACTTGTGAAGAATGTGCCTCTTAGTCAAGTAGATACAAGAGACCAAAGGGGCGGCTTCTGTCTAGAGGGTTTTGTGAATCTACGGAGGAAGATGACCTGTACTGACTATCGAAATGTCCATCTATTGCTCTATGGGGAAGAGAAAAAAAAATATTTAGAGAGACTAGAAAAGGAAAGCAACGAGATTTTTTAACAACTCCAGGAAAGTGAAAACACTATGGCCCCAAAGGGGGCACTCCTAAGACGAATGTATGAGGAGCTGAAGGAAATGTGCCATAAACCAGACATGGAGCTGCTCCAGCATTTTGGAGACCTGATCAAAAAAAGTGAATTGGTGCAACTGCACATGTCCCAGCCTGTGAAGCCAGAGTTCAGTTCCTTGCCCATCACTGGATTGATATACAGGCTCAACCGTTTCCAAGTGTATTTTATTTCCTTGGATCACGAAATACACACTTGCCATGTTCTCGTGTTTGAAAATCTGAGACATGTGGTCTTTAGTCATGATCGTCTCAATGTGGCCCACAATCCAACAAGACCTAAGTGTTTTCTTGCCTGGGGTGCCAAGACCTTCATGTCTGGCAAATATTACTAGAAGGTGGATGTGGGGCACTGTTGGAACTGGGATATCAGACTTTGTAACAATTCTTGGAAAATGAGGAATGACATGCTGGTTAACTCCGAGGGAATTTTTCTACTTTTTTGTGTCAAAGACAACAATCAGTGCAGTCTCTCCACCTCCTCCCCACTCTTACCTCAGTGTGTAGAAAGACCTCTAGGACACGGAGGGGTGTTCCTGGATTATGAATGTGGTATAGTGAGCTTTGTTAATATGGATAATAGTACCCTCATTTGTAGTTTCCTTGCATGCTCCTTTTCTTCCCCTCTCAGGCCTTTCCTTTGCTATGGACCCCAATGATCAGGGACAGTTTAGAAACTTGTCCATATGTTTGAGAATGCTAATACCTGAGAACCTTCCTAGGACCGACTTGATTGTCTTTTAACTTCATCTACATTTATTAGACTACTGATTTTATTGTTGTTAAAAATGTGATAATGTTAAGTGCATGAATTTGATTTTCTTTTCTTTAAATAAAAACACACTCTCTTGGAAAAAAAAAGAAAAAGAACTTTTGATGATGTATGTCTTTGCCAGGTTGGGTTTTTGGAGGTTGCTGTGATAGAAAGCAAGTGTCATGCAAAAATCACTGTGGAGCAGAAAGTGAGGGGGGTGGTGGTGTTCAATCTGCTTCCAAGGTCTGAGAGGTTGTGTGGTGCCCAGTAGGCACTGAGTTGTTAGGACAAAATGCTTATTAAGTTGTTTGGATCTAACTACTTACTACATGTGCATGTGAAAGCTGGACAATAAACAAGGAAGACTGAAGAAGAATTGACGCCTTTGAGTTACGCTGTCGTCGAAGAATATTAAATATACCATGGACTGCGAAAAGAATGAACAAATCTGTCTTGGGAGAAGTACAGACAGAATGCTTCTTAGAAGCAAGGATGGTGAAACTGCATCTCACATATTTTGGACATGTTATCAGGAGGGATCAGTCCCTGGAGAAGGACATCGTGCTTGGTAAAGTGGAGGGTCAGTGAAAAAGAGGAAGACCTTTAACAAGATGGATTGACACAGTGGTTGCAACTATGGGCTCAAGCATAACAAGGATTGTAAGGACGGTGCAAGACAGGATAGTGTTTCGTTCTGTTGTATATAGGGTCTCTATGAGTTGGAACCAACTCGACAGCACCTAACAACAACAACTTACTACACAGGGCTGTTAGGTGTTTGTTTTGGCCTGTGGGTGCCGTGAAAAAGTTACTGAGACGCTCAGAGTGCCGTGTGCAGAACCTCTACACTAAGGTGATGTTTTTAGCGGCCGTCAAGTGGCCCCCCTCCCCAAACACTCCCTAGCCCATTTTAGTCTGGAAGTGCTGGGGAAACCTGTTCAGCATCATAACAACACACAAGACCCCACTGATAGATGGGTGATGGCAGCACATGAGGTGTGTTGGCCAGGAATTGAACCCAGTTCTCCCACATGGAAGGTGAGAATTCTACCACTGAATCAACAATGTCGCTTGCACTAAGATTGATAGTATGTCCTTTCCTGTGAGCAGGTTTGAACAGTGAGTTCTGAGGGAGGAAAACTGGGAGTGATATCAAGGTAGGGCACTAGAGAGATGGGGAAGGGAAAGAAACAGGAGGTTGGAGACATCACGTTGTAGAGTTTGTAACTTGCCCGTGGCCTCATCCCTGACCGGTAACATTCCTAATGCTGCCTCCAAGCTTTGACCATACCCTCTCCTCCAGAGAACCCACCTCTGTCCTCCCTCCATCCAGGACATACCTTGAGAGACAGTTCGAGGTTTTCGCCACCCCACAGTGACATGAGAGAGTCATACGCTCCAGTGTTTTGGAAGTAATTTCTGTCTATGGCCACGACCACACCTGGCACCACGGGGCTCCTGGACACAGAAAATGGGGAAAAGGCTGGAGCTGAGAACCGGACATATCAGGTGAGGTTGGGAGGCTTAGGGCTTACCAGATGAGCACGCCAGTGGCTAAGAGTGGACTCTGGGCTCTGACAGACCTCAGTGCCTTTCATTGTAAGACTGAACAATGCAGTATTTACTTAATTAAGTCCTAAATACCAGTATTTTATGAAAAAGACAGCTATGGTTGTCTCGGCCTTTCCTACCCGTCTCAGGCACTTCTCCTGTAGAAAGGGCCCAGGACCGTGTCTGAGGCTGCTCTACCCTCTGCCTTGAGTATCTCTGGAGAAATGTTTGTGGAAGAAGGCCTCGGGTTATAATGAGTTATCCTGAGGGAGGTAGGGTCCGGCCTGGATAAAGGGAAGTGGTCAGCCTCTTTCCCCTTCTCTTCCCCTATTTCTTTACCTCACTGTCTTCTATTTTTCTTAATGAGCATCTACCTACTCCCCAGTTCTAAGATGAATCTACTAGGGATGCTGGAAGTAGATAGGTCTCCACCCAGGTCTGGGGGAAACACACATGACTTATAAACCCTGGAAGCTAGAAATCTGGAACAAGGGTATTAAAATGACAGTAATATCTTTCAGAAGCAGTTTTTAACGGGAAGATGTAGCCAGGACTCTGGGTCTGTCTCAAGATGTAAATGATTCAGAGTCTGGATTTTTTAATGGCCAAAAAAAAAAAGAGTATTACATTAAATTAAAAACACTGGCCTTTAAGGTGCTTAAGTTATATCAAAATATGAAAAACCAATGTTGCCATTATTGCTAAATTCAATTTCCAACTTTTCCACTTACTAGATCTTGGATGAGATATGCGACCTCTCTGAACTCAGCTCCCTCGCCTTGAAATTGGGGACAACAAGAGTGTTTCATAATAGGGTTTTGGGAGGATTAGAGAAGTCATGTAAAGTGCTCAGCCTTGTGCGGGCCACATTTTAAGTGCTCACTAAATTTTGGTATTACAGGTCCACTAGCCCTTATGTGCAATGTATGGGGCCAGCGTGTTTTGAATTCAGAATTTTTTTGGATTTTAAAAAGGGGCACACGTCATATATTACATAACAGCTATACTAGGGTCTGGGCCAGCACTCCTTAATCAAATGTATTAATATTTCTTCAGTGAAACATATGAATAGTCACAGTAAGTGGGACAAAGGCTATGCAGACACCCACGTCACTTCAGGGTGGCTTCTGCCATCAGATGAGTTATGAAAAATGTTTAGTTTTCATACTCGTTGCCATCAAGTTGATTCCAACTCATAGCAACCCTATAGGACAGGGTAGAACTGCCCCATAGGGTTTCCAAGGCTGTAAATCTTTATGGAAGCAGACTGCCACATCTTTCTGACCTTTCAGTTAGCAGCCAAGTGCTTAACCACGGTGCCACCAGGGCTTCTTTTAGTTTTCATAGTCCCTCAGATTTTAAAATTGGAGAAAATTGGACTGTAGACTTGTATTTAAAACCCAGCATAGTATAGCAGTGTGGTCTCAGAAGCCTGACTGTCCTGGTTTTAATTCTGAATCTACTTCTTATTAACTTTATGAAGTTGGGCAAGTTATTTAAGCCATATGTACTCAGTTTTTACATCTGTAAAATGGGATTCGTAACAGTAACTGCTTCACAGAAGTTTGACTTAATGTGTGTAATGTGTTTATATCAGCATTTAGCACATAGTACATGCTCAGTAAATATTACTTATTATTATCATTTTCATATTACAAATGATCATTTTCTTTCTGGAATTTTCTCTGCATCTATATGTAGTCTGCACCCAATCATGTCGTTATTCCTCATTTGGTGCTCTCTAACCAGACTGCTGGTGAAAAAAGGTATTGGCAATGAAGAAGTCGTTGGTCTTGCAAAATTTTATCATGCGATCTCCGGCATCATTTCTATCACCAAGGCCAAATTTTCCAACTACCGATTCTTCTTCGTTTCCAACTTTCCCATTCCAATCACTAGTAATTATCAACGTGTCTTGATTGCATGTTTGATCAATTTCAGACTGCAGAAGTTGGTAAAAATCTTCAGTTTCTTCAACTTTGGCCTTGGTGGTTGGTGCGTAAATTTGAATAATAGTTGTATTCACTGGTCTTCCTTGTAGGCATATGGATATTATCCTATCACTGACAGCATTGTACTTCAGGATAGACCTTGAAATGTTCTTTTTGACCATGAATGCAATGTCATTCCGTTTCAAGTTGTCATAGCCAGCATAGTAGACCATATGATTGTCTGATTCAAAATGGCCAATACCAGTCCATTTCAGTTCACCAATGCCCTAATGCCTAGGATATTGATGTTTATGCCTTCCATTTCATTTTGGATGATTTCCAATTTTCCTAGATTCATACTTCATACATTCCATGTTCCAATCATTAATGGATGTTTGCAGCTGTTTCTTCTCATTTTGAGTCGTGCCACATCAGCCAATGAAGGTCCTGAAATCTTGACTCCATCCACTTCATTAAGGTCAACTCTACTTTGAGGAGACAGCTCTTCCCCAGTCATCTTTTGAGTGCCTTCCAACCTGGGGGGCTCATCTTCTGGCACTATATCAGACAGTGTTCTGCTGTTATTCATAAGGTTTTCACTGGCTAATTTTTTCAGATGTAGACCACCGGGTCCTTCTTCCTAGTCTGTCTTAGTCCGGAAGGTCAGCTGAAACTTGTGTGCCATGGGTGACCCTGCTGGTATCTGAATACTGGTGGCATAGCTTCCAGCATCACAGCAACACGCAAGCCTCCACATTATGACAAACTGACAGACACATCAGAACAAGGTCGGGGGCCGACTGTGGAACAGACCATCAATTGCTCATATGCAAGTTCAAGTTGAAACTGAAGAAAATTAGAACAAGTCCACAAAAGCCAAAGTACGACCTTGGGTATATTCCATCTGAATTTAGAGATCACTTCAAGAATGGATTTGACATGTTGAACACTAATGACCAAAGACCAGCTGAGTTGTGGGATGACATCAAGGACATCATACATGAAGAAAGCAAGAGGTCATTTAAAAAGACAGGAAAGAAAGAAAAGACCAAAATGGATGGCAGAAGAGACTCTGAAACTTGCTCTTGAACGTCGAGTAGCTAAAGCAAAAGGAAGAAATGATGAAGTAGAAGAAAAGAACAGAAGATTTCAAAGGGCAGCTCGAGAAGACAAAGTAAAGTATTATAATGACATGTGCAAAGAGCTGGAGAAAACCAAAAGGGAAGAACATGCTCGGCATTTCTCAAGCTGAAAGAACTGAAGGAAAAATTCAAGCTGCGAGTGGCAATAGTGAAGAATTCTACAGGGAAAATATCAAACTACCCAGGAAGCATCAAAAGAAGATGGAAGGAATACACAGAGTCATTATACCAAAAAGAAATGGTTGATGTTCAGTCATTGCAGGAGGTAGCATATGATCAGGAGCTGATGGTACTGAAGGAAGAAGTCCAAGCTGCACTGAAGGCATTAGCGAAAAAACAAGGCTCTAGGAATTGACAGACTATCGATTGAGATGTTTCAACAAACGGATGTACTGCTGGAAGGGCTTGCTCATCTATGCCAAAACTTTTGGAAGACAGCTACCTGGCCAGCTGATTGGAAGAGATCCATATTTATGCCCATTCCCAAAAAAGCTGATCCAACTGAATGCAGAAATTATCGAACAATATCTTTAATATCACATGTAAGTAAAATTTTACTGAAGATCATTCAAAAGCAGTTGTAGCAATATATGGACAGGGAACTGCGAGAAATTCAAGCTGGATTCAGAAGAGGTCGTGGAACCAGGGATATTGCTGACGTCAGAGGGATCCTGGCAGAAAGCAGGGAATACCAGAGAGATGTTTACCTGTGTTTTATCGACTATGCAAAGACATTTGAATAACAAATTATGGATAACATTGCGAAGAATCGGAATTCCAGAACACTTAATTGTGCTCATGAGAAACCTGTACACAGATCAAGAGGCAGTCATTCCAACAGAACAAGGGGATACTGCGTGGTTTAAAGTCAGGAAGGGTGTGCATCAGGGTTGTATCCTTTCACCATACCTGTTCAATCTGTATGCTGAGCAAATAATCTGAGAAACTGGACTCTGTGAAGAATGGGGCATCAAGATTGGAGGAAGATGCATTAACAACCTGTGTTATGCAGATGACACAACCTTGCTTGCTGAAAGTGAAGAGGTCTTGAAGCACCTACTGATGAAGATCAAAGACTACAGCCTTCAGTATGGATTACACCTCAACATAAACAAAACAAAAATTGTCACAACTGGACCAATAAGCAACATCATGATAAATGGAGAAAAGATTGAAGTTGTCAAGGATTTCAGTTTACTTAGATCCACAATTAACACCCATGGAAGCAGCAGTCAAGAAATCAAAAGACTCATTGCATTGGGCAAATCTGCTGCAAAAGACCTCTTTAAAGTGTTGAAAGGCAAAGAAGTCACCTTGAAGACTAAGGTGTGCCTGACCCAAGCCATGGTGTTTTCAATTGCTTCATATGCATGTGAAAGCTGGACACTGAATAAGGAATACCAAAGAAGAATTGATGCCTCTGAATTGTGGTGTTGGCGAAGAATATTAAATATACCATGGACTGCCAAAAAAGGGAACAAATCTGTCTCGGAAGAAATACAACCAGAATGCTCATTAGAAGCAAGGATGGCATGACTATGTCTCACTTATGTTGGACATTTTATCAGGAGGCATCAGTCCCTGGAGAAGTATTCTTGGTAAAGTAGAGGGTCAGCGAAAAAGAGGAAGACCCTCAATGAGATGGATTGACACAGTGGCTGCAGCAATGGGCTCAAGCATAACAACAACTGTGAGGATGGCTCAGGACCAGGCAGTGTTTCATTCTGTTGTCCATAGGGTAACTATGAGTTGTCCATAGGGTCACCATGAGTTGGAACCAACTCAATGGCACCTAACAACAACAACAACAACAACCAGACTGCTGAGGGCAGGGCCATGATGTCTGAGCATCCAGAGTGGGGGAGATGTGGATAGAAATAGAAGAGCCTGTGTGAGGAGGGGTCTGGCTGTCTGGGCCCTAGGTGTGGAGCCCAAGGCCTCATTGAGACCTACACAGCAGCTGGGTCTCAGGGCAGCATCGGTTGCCAGGGCAAAGATGGCTGGGCCTGCTATGGCTGGAACTGAGAGGCACTGACTTTGGCTGAGGGTGGTTCCAGCTGGGAATAGTGACCTAGAGTGCAGCCCCCAGAGATACCCAAGGATTTTCCAGCACTGAGGCCTTGAAGAAGGCTCCTGAGAGGGTCAGTGCCTGGGGTCAAGAGCCCTTTGCCTCAGGTTAGCCACAGACCCTCTGACACATTCATTCTCTTGAACAGAATCCATTTGCTTCCACCAGGGGCAGAATAAATTGTTCCCCCAAATGAGCACCTCTCCTAGCACCCCATGAAGACCCCTCCCCATTCCAGCACTCATCTCACTGTTGACCACCCTTTCCACACTATAAATGAGACCTTATCTTTCCATGCTTGTGTCAGCACAAAACAGACCCTCAGAAGATGCTGATGGACAAGCAAGGACGTGACAGAACACTTGAACAGAGCTCTTCTGTGCTACAGCAATAAGCACCCAAGGGAGAAGATTTGCATCTTGACATCATGAACCTTCCATCCTAGAATCACAAAGATCTCAAGGCCAGAGGCAGGCATCACCTTAAGAGCCAAGAACAAAGACACCATATACTTAACTTCAAAGTTTAAAAAAACAAAGCCATTGTTTAAGCATAAGATGAGGTACCATACTGGCAGAGCAAATATTTTCTGTAGCACAAACTCAGTACAATTCTGTGACCTGGGGAGAGAAGAGGGAGCCAGAGAGAAGATCAAGAGGATGCTGTTGTTGACTGCTGTTGAGTTGGCCTCGACTCATGGCAATCTCAACCGAATAAAACACTGCCTAAGCCTGCCCCATCCCCATAATGGGTTTGGGATGGGACCATTGTGGTCCCTAGGGTTGTCATTGGCTGATTTTCAGAATTATATCACCCAGGCCTTTCTTCCTAGTCTGTCTTAGTTTGGAAGCTCCCCTGAAACCTGTTCAGCATCATAGCAACACACAAGTCTCCACTGACAGACAGGTGAGGGCTGCACATGAGGTGCATTGGTCAGGAATCGAATCCAGGTCTCTCACATGGAAGGCAAAATTCTACCACTGAACCACCACTGCCTCATCAAGAGGATGGAGATGTAGGTAAGTCCCTGAGAAGGGCCTCTTCGGGGTTAATTCCTGGAGGAACTTGGTCCTGCACTTGACATTTGGGGATCTGAGAACAGAAGGCACCTTTCAGGTGACTGCCCTGGAAGCCTAGAAGCCCCCCTCTGCTACAGGTGACAGGAGACGGGGGTACAGATGGTGTCATGGGACACTAGGCAGAAGATGGTGGTGCAGCTCCGTAGAGGCCCCAGACTGTGAGGAGAGCAGTGTGGGTTAGCCATTGGAGGCTGGGAGAGGATGGGACCCTGGCCAGTGTTGGCGTGGAGGGTGCAGATGTGTCAGTCATGCAGCTGGAGGATGTGATATGTGGTGGTGGGTTTGGCCAATATCAATTCAGGACAGCTTGGGCCTGAGATGGGATCTCCCTCCCCACCAACGCTGCCTCCACAGAAGCCTGGAGCTCACAATCAACTCCAGGGAGGCAGGGGAGGAGGAAATACCTGGATGACAGATTTAAACATAAGATGACTAAGGTATCACTGAATTTGACTAATTTTCCTGGAAGTGTTCTGTCATTAAGAAGCTCAAGATAGAAATTATCTAATTCTCTTCGAAAATAAAGAACATTGTTTTTGCACATCTGAGCTGTGGCTGATCAAACTTCTGTTGCTATAGGTACATTCCCTTGGGAAGGCCCTTGGAAGGCCTGTTTGTGTCTAACGTCTTCATCTGTGTCTCTGTGCTAAGCATGTGGTCAGCACTGCAAAATGACTTAGATAATTGCTTGGTGTTGAGGAGTATATGATGGAGGTATACCGAGGCAGATGGTAGTTTCCATGTACTCCACAAGATCTCTGATCCCACAGGCTCCTCTTGCAATGTGACATTGACACTGCTTCCATTGAGAGGTGGGGGTCTCTGTTTCCTTCCTGTGCACCTGGGTGCACCTGCAACCCTGATGGAAGTGACTCAAGGTGACTTCTGTGGCTTGGTCATAAAACGAGGTACAGCTTGCTTCACCTGGCTCCTTTGGGTACTTGCTCTTGGAGCCCAGTGCCATGCGTAGCAAGCCTCAATGAGCCCATGTGAAGAGACCTCATGGAGAGAACCCATGAAGCAATCCCAGTCAACAGCCCCAGCTGAGGTCCTGGCTAACAGCCAACACTGACCATTAGACTTGAGAGAGAACGAAACACCAGAAGATTCCAGCCTCAGCTGTTGAGCCATTCCTGGCTCATCTAATCTTCCTGGTTGAGGCCTCAGACACTGTGAAGCAGAGACTACCAAAACCCCTGGCTGCTTTCAGAATTCATGACCTACAGAATCCATGAGCTTAACAAAGTGGTTGTTGTTTTACAACACTACGTTTGTTTGGTTTGTTATGCAGCAGAAGATAACTAGAACATCTCCTTAAATAGAATAGTTGTCCAAAATCCAAACATGCGAGAACAACCCATAAAATATTTTGAGACTTGGCGTACCTTGGCCCAGGACCGGGCAGTGCTTTGTTCTGTTGTACATAGGGTCGCTATGAGTGGAACCGACTCAACGGCACCTAACAACAACAACAACATGGTATCTTAGCATTCACCTTGTTAAATTCTTCCTTTTTACTGAGAAGGGATTTGAGGCCAGGGAGTTTCCAATGTTACCTGGTGAGTTAGAGTTGGGTCAAGATCCCAGCTCTGGCTCTTTTGCTTCCCCCTCTGGGGCATCCCTAGGAGCTAACTGGAAGATCACTGCACTCCACTAACAACAATAATAACAACACCAGAGCTGAGTGCCTGGTACTCTAAATGCTTTTCATGTATCAACTCATTCAATCACAACAATTCTACAAGGTAAGTACTATTGTTATCATCAATTTACTGATGAGGAAACTGAGACACAGATTAAGTAATTTACTAGGAAACCGGTGGAGTCAAGGTTAGCTGCAGAGTTCATCCTAAGCAAGCAAAGGAAGAGCAGGTTGGGTGGCAGGGCCTTACCTGATGGGGCTGATGGGAGACTGGAGGGCCTTCCTTTCATGCTCTGGCAAAGGCTCCCAGTGGAAATCCAGCTTCCAGTCCAACACCCCACGTTGCAGGTCCTCGGATGGGTAATACTGGAAAGTCTTCCAGTCAATCACATCTATGACTGGAGACACCACCCGGCTTCTGAAAAAATTGTGGAATTATGTAAGGGGATACAAATCATTTAGTTGCTGAAGGAAAGAAGGATAATCTAGACATGCACTGCCCTATATGGCAGCCACTAGCCACATGTGACAAGGTCCCTAAGTGGCACAAACTGTTTGTGCTCAACTACTATCCTAAATGTTGGCAGTTCAAACCCACCCAGCAGTGCCACAGAAGAAAGGCCTGGTGATCTGCTTCCATAAAGACTAAAGCCAAGAAAACCCTACGGAGCAGTTCTACTGTGTAACGCATGGGTTGCCATGAGTCAGAATTGACTTAATGACGATGGGTTTGGTTTTTCTGTTGTTGTTTTAGCCACATGTGGCTATGGGGCATTTAAAATATGGTTTGAGATATGCTATGAGATTAAAATATACCCTGGATTTAGAAGACTTAGTACCAAAAAAGTTTATACAATATCTCAATTTTTTTTATTGATTATATATTGAATGGGTAATTTTTTGCATATATTGGGTTAATTAAAGCATATTATTAATACTGATTTCATCTTTTTCTTTTTACTTTTAAATGTGGCTACCAGAAAACTTAAAGTTACATATGTGGCTCGTGTTATATTTCTGTTGGACAGTGCTGTTCTAGAAAATATGTTTTTCTATGAGGAAATGGGGTCTACTTCCCTAAAGAGCATGCTTGCCTCTTTCTTTCTTTAAAAGCCTCTTTTGACAACATCAGGAAACAGGGGAATGGGGGCCTAGGCTCAGCTCTGCCACTAATGAGCTGCATGGGGTCTTGAGATAATTGCTGGGCTGGAGTTTCCTCATTTATAAAATGGAAGGTTTAACTACTTCCCAAAAAAGTCTTTCCCAGTAGTAATGTTACAGGACAGTGGTTCTTAACTTTTCTTGAGGTCTTTGAGCCTTTTGAGAATCAACGCGAAACTATGGGTCACTCATCAGAAAAAGGTTCATATATAAAACATTGTGACAATTTCAGGCGGCACATGGACCTCTGCCCTAGGGTATACTTCCTGTTTTTCCGTGTATCATAAAACTTGACAGGCTCGAGGAATCAGGATTGCCAACCCTCAAAGTGTCCCTCAGGTTCCTGGTGGTGCAAATGGCTTGTAGCTTGGCCGCTAACAAAAAGGTTGGTGGTTTGAATCCAACAAGTGGTGCCGTGGAAGAAAGGCCTGATTACAGCCATTGAAAACCTTATGGAGCACAGTTCTCTGACACATGTGGGGTCGCTATGAGTCAGAATCAATTCAACAGCAACGGGCAGTGTCCCTAGTGTTGATGTGTATGTGTATGTGGACATGGTGTCTATAAGCAAACCAAAGTACTGAGACTAGGTTTATTTGCTCATTTACTGTTGCTGCTGGTAATTTCATTTCATTTTTCTTTTTTTTCATTGCAGAGCCTGATGATATAACCTCAGAGAGGGTGATATGGGAAATTGGTACACACCAGAAACTTCACCTTTTACCCAAACAATCACCCAGATGTACCAGGAACTGCTCCCCACTGTTTCTGACCCCCTCCCCCTGGCCTCTCAAGACACTTACTTCTAAAATCTGCAATATGAATGGATCAGGCCTGAACTCGGGTAGCTAAGATTCCTGGAAGGAGAGATGCTAGCCATGGTGTGTTTACACTCGGGTCTATTTCCATCTCTGTTCCATCCATCTCAGAGACAGCCGGGTTCGCACAAGGCCAGGCCGCACAGAGAGGGCTGGGTTGTCCTGGAATTCAGTTATCTGCGCTAATGTGTGTGGCCCTAAGTGACAGACAATGGTGTGAGGAGTCGTGGGTCTGTGTTTAGAGCAAGGGTCTTGACTGGCTTTTCCTGTCTTTTCTGCATTGTTCCCGCTGGAAGGCAAGGGGAAGTCTATTCTCTGGGTCCCCACTATTTTGGGATCCCTGTGCTGACCTATGAGGTGAAAGAGCAAGAAGGAAAGGAGGGCAACCAGACCTCCTCCAAGTCTCCATTTACTCTGGAATGAGCCAGGCAGACGGGATGGATTTGGCTATTGGCAAAGCATTTTGTGGAATTTCAGAATCAAGAGCCAGGGGAAGCTGTATGACTGAATTTTGAAGAATCGCATCAAATCTGTGCCATCTTCACTAATCATAGCAGGTCAAGAAAGGAAATTGCATTCAAGCATTCACGTAATCATTCATCCTAGAATTTTGTGCTATGTCCTTCTGACAAAGTGTGCATTACTTTTTATCAGAAAATGAGAACTGTAAAATTTGTCGTTATTTCTTTTTGCTTTGACTTGTTAGAAGCTCAGGGTCATATGTAAAGTTCATTTTTAATATAGCATCGTTCCTGATTCCCAATACCATTGTTTCCTTTCTGAACTCTCCTTTTCCCTCTATTTTTACCAGGTACCCATTAACCTTTTGACTCATTCCAACTCATGGTGACCCTGTAGGACAGAGTAGAACTGCCCCACAGGGTTTCCAAGGCTGTAATCTTGATGGAAGCAGACTGTCACATCTTTCTCCCATGAAGCAGCTGGTGGGTTTGAACCACCAACCTCTGGATTATCAGCTGAGCAATTAACCACTGTGCCATCAGGGCTCCTTTTAACCAGGTACATAAGTGATTAATTGGGAGCCTCCTTGAGTATACTTTGGATAGAGATGAAGAATAAAATGTCAGTGCATGGGGTGAGAGGGTCACCGGTGCTTTCTGCTTTGGATTTTATTTTCATAGACCATGGAAGTTGCCTAAACAGGGCTGATTCAGTGAGTAACTGCAGTCTGGTGACTCAGAAATGGTAATTAATTTAAAAAAAACAAGACCAACAAACTTATATTTAGCTTTGTGTTTTTGTACTTACAGATGTATCTGGTGTTCTTGGAATTCACTCAGAGCAAAATAGCAAAGCTACCCCACTTGACTTGGAAGGAGCTAGAAGTATCTGCTTACTTCATCATTCACTCACCTTCTTCCTTGTGAGTAGAGTTTTAACTCTCAGTCAAATACAAGGCTTATCTTCTTTTAAGCCTTTATAAGCTCCACAAAGTGGGACTAAATTATCTTAAAGGTCCCTTTGACAGCCTTTCATCTGTGATACCAGGATAGGAATGGAATGGGGAATGGGCAAGGCAAATTAAGAGTTTGACTTCAAATGATACCCAGTCATTATAATGTTGAGACAGTCCTTTGCATGGGACAGAATCAAAGATGGCCTTGTAGAGCTTATTCATTTTCTTTTCCTAGTTCTGGTGCTGAATTTATGCAAGTATCCTTTTCTTATGAGAGGTGAGCCAAGACCAAACCTGTCAAGTTGATTCCGACTCATAGTGACTGTATAGGACAGGGTGAAACTGCCCCATACGGTTTCCAAGGAGCAGCTCGTGGATTCGAAGTGCTGACCTTTATGGTTAGCAGTTGTAGCTCTTAACCACTGTGCCACCAGGGCTCCAGAGAGTGGGCAGTAATCTGTGTCATGGAATTGGGCAAAATTAATCTGTCTTGGTCTTGCTAGAGCTCTGCTTGCTTTTCTTTATTAAAATGGAATGTTGGACTATTAACAATCTACTTTGTGTTGTCTGAAATCTCCTCTATCTGGTAGGATCCTATACCTACAGGATCCATCCTAATGTGGCCCAGGGAATTTTTTTTCTTATATGTGGTTGTCCCCAACTTCAATTTAGACGGTATACATTTACCATGAGTAGGAATGCAAGAAGAGAATTCATAAGGCTTAGGTTCTAGCATCAGCTCTATCTGCTGGGGACCATCAATAATAATCATTTATTGAACTCCTACTGTATGACAGGCCTGCTCCAGCTCTAAGGAGTGTACCTGACATGGTCTAAGGTGGGCTAGCCATCAGGGTTTGGTTTTCCTGAATGGAATATTCAGAATGAGGGAACTAGTTGACAAGACGCGTTTAGGCACTGTTTGAGTTGCACGAGGAAGTGGTAAAGAGAATGCCAGCAAGACTGGGGAGGGAGAACAGAGAAATGATCACAGATTTTTAAGATGTTTGGCTGTAGAATGTGTAATTCAACCTTCTTTAACTTCACAACATTTCTGAGAACTAGCCATAATTTGAAAATTAGAGACTCCTTTTATAAACCAGAAAACCAAAGAATGCTAGTTCTTGATCAAATTTAGTAATCACAGTCTAATTTTTTTTTCGAATGGATGAGTAATCTATAGCCTAGAGAAATTTAAAGATTTTTCCTAAGGTTATACTATAATCAGAGGAGCCCTGTTTGGCTGCTAACTGAAAGGTCTGCGGTTCGAAACTACCAGTGACTTTGAGGGAGAAAAGACCTGGCAATCTGCTGCCATAAAGACTATACCCTAGGGAACACTATGGGGCAGTTCTACTCTGTCCTATACGGTCTCTATGAGTCAGAATCAACTCAATGGCATACGACAACAATAAACTACAATCCTGATCAAAATTGCTGAATTTTCATCGAAGGTAATGATAGCCATGGAAAAGTATTACCCTTCCTAGGGGTACTTACAACATAATAGAGGCTGCTCTCCAGGCCTATAATACAGGCAGATGGGCTGGAAGACTTCTAACCTCCCTTCCAACTCTAACTCCCTATGTTTCATAAAAGGCCCAAACATCTGGAAAATCCACAGATAGATTACTCTGATCATAGAAGCTCAGGTACTTTTTTAGATGGTGGATGTCTTAGTTTCCTAGTGCTGCTGTAACAGAAATACCACAAGTGGGTGGCTTTAACAATAGAAATTTATTTTCTCACAGTTCAGGAGGCTAGAAGCCCAAATTTAGGGTACCGGTTCTAGGGGAAGGCTCTCTTTCTCTGTGTTTGCTCTAGGGGAAGGTCCTTGTTTCAGCTTCTTTAGCCCTGGTGTTCATCGGTTCCTTGACAATCTCTAGGAGGCATATTGTCTTTCGCCTATTTGTGCTTCCTTGCTTCTGTGCCTAATCTGCTCTTTTTATATCTCAAAAGTCATTAGGTTTAGGACACACCCTACACTGAGATGGCCTCATTAATGTAACAAAGAAAACCCTATTCCCAAATGAGTTTACATACACAGGTGTAGGAGTTAGGATTCCAACACATGTTTTGGGGGGACCCAGTTCAATCCATCACAGTAGGGGTAGATATTCTGTAAGTGGCTGAGCCTGTACATCTATTTTTCCCAGTCCCACCTCTTGCTCAGCAGGCCCCAGAGGCTGAGTTACCTGTCACCAGCTATTCTGCTGAGGAGGGGCTCCAGCCAGCCTTGATGGCACTCGCAGTGGGAGTCCATGAAGACCAGCACGTCCCCTGTAGCCCTGGTAGCCCCCAGCATTCGGCCCTGGATAGCACCCAGCCTCTTGTTGCTCCTGAGCAGCTTCACACCCTCCAGCCTGGCTACATATTCGCTGAGAGCCGACTTGAGCTGTCCTGGAATCAACAGGGTTGTGGTCAGTTGGGTCACAGATGCCACGGCCGACTGAGATTGTGATGACCATCATTCAGATGACTGTCAGCAACGATCTCTTTGCGGCTCTGGGGAGTACAAGGATCCTGAGGATCAAATATGTTATCACAGTGTGGTTGCTACGAAAAGGGAAGATGCTTCCAGAGTTTGGAATGGGTCAGGATTCTCACCAGTGAAAATCAGGAAAGAGGGTATCATAAAACCAGAAGAGGAGAGACTTGCAAGAACTTGCTAACATTCTCTAAATGCAGTGGTGAGGTGCTAGCAGACACTGTTGGTGCCCAACTCAGATGCCCTGGGTCCCCTTTACTGGTTTGGTTTGCACACTCACTGCTGAGGGTGTGCTGCTAACTGTAACCTGCACACTTTCCTGGAGAATGGCTTTGGGTAACTGGAGCTTCCTCTCTTGAGTGCACCACAAGTTACACAGAAGTTATGCAGAACATGGCTCCTGGCAGAACTTCTCAGTTGGTAAGCTTGTTAGCAGCAGGTCATTCCCCAGAGAGGAGTCTGTTAGTCAAACTGTTAGCTTTGATGAACTTGAACATCTGAAAACCAGCCCCTCTGTGACTCCACCGTATCGAACATTGCTAGTTGTTTTCCCCACCATTCACTCTCCCTTTCCACCTTACTAACAGGACCTTGATTTTGTTTAGGGCAGCCAAAAGCACTAATTTCCCGATTCCCTTGCTGCTAGGGATAAGCATGTGATCCAGCTCTGGTAGAAATATACTGGGTGAGAGGATTCTGGGAAAACTATTGTTTTAGTAACTTTTTTTTTTTTTTTTTTTTTGGTAAGGGACAAAGGTTCCTATTGGCTCTTAGCCCTTTTTCTGTCTGAAATGTGGATGTGATGCCCAGAGGTAAAGCAGCCCTGTTGTGAATATGAGGCCAAAACCACACTCTAGGTATGGTTAAATGGAAAGCAGAAAGAGCTGGGTTCTTGGTTCATTGTGGACCTGCCATACCAGCCTTGTGTTGCCAACCATTGGCTTCCTATAAAGTAAGAAAAATAAGTCTCCACTGGTTGGTTAAGTCATTGTGGCAGATTTCTGTTCCATGCAGCAAAACGTAATCCCTCACTGATATCCTCATCAGACATTACTTCCTGAGGCCCTGCTTGGGCTGACCTGATAGCTGATCTCTTTAGCTATAACCCTTGTTGGTGTTATTTAGGGTAAAATCCAGGCACAGTAGGCACTAGCAAAAGAGGTCCAGAATAGACTGAGGAAAAACTTTCAGACTGTAATGGGATTTGACATTCTTAAGAGTTTTCGAAGCAGGTAAAAAGCCCACGTCTGGGATGGTATAGGTACAGAATGCTCAGAAGTAGGGGGCTGCTGTGGTCCTTGGCCTGTTCCTGCAGAAAATGACAATAACAATGACTTCCATTTATAAGGGGTCTATCATGGCTGGCCATCACATGCATTTTCTAATTTCATGATTCGTGGGTGTTATCATCCCCAGTTCACAGATGAGTAACCTGAAGCACATCTAGCTGACTCTATCACTCTGTGCTATAGTGCTGTGACTATTAGCTTGACAACACTGTGGGTTGGCTCTGGGCCACTCACAGCATCTTTGTGGGTATCTGTAAATGGGGCTGGGAAGCTCTGCCTCTGGAGAGCAGTGTGCATAGTGGTCCTTGTCTGGGTTCCAGCTCTTGGCAGGCACATAGAGGAGGGTGCCCAGGGACAGATGGAGCCAGTGCTGTTCCTGGTTGTAGGGAGGACCTTGCACCCCTGTGTCAGCGGGTAACATGGGGCTGCTGGAAGGACAGCCAGCCTGGTGGTGGGGGGTGGAGGGAGAGTGGGTGAGGAGGCAGAGTTTAACCGCTGGGCCCAAAATCCGGATACCCTCTGAGGGGACTGGTCAGAGCTGAGGATTTTGGAGGTAGCCCACTTCCCCAGGGCGTGGCTCTTCCACTGCCAACATGCTCCAGGAGAAGCGAAGCTCCTGAGAGGACACTGAGAGAACATACCAATCAGCTGATGGGGGTGTGTGGCCACAGACGGGCTCTCAGGGAGGTCTCTGCCCCAGCCATGGGCTTGGGGAGTCTCTGGGTACCCAGCCCAGTCCAGCACCTATCCTTCAGTCCTCCTAATACACAGCCAGAGATGGCTTAGTAATCCCACAAACACCTGGAGCCTCTGGTTGGTTTGACTAATAGCAGTGGCCAGGCTGGACAAAGTCCCGGTATGAGGACCTTAGGAAGGATTAACAGAGGCACCTGGCCACTCCTCCATCCTCTCTCATCTCCTTAAGGAAAGTGCTTTGCAGGTCTCAGCAAATGCTCAGCTTCCCTCTGGAGCAGTCCCATCTTTCCACAAGGCCAGGAGGGGCCTGGGCAGGTCATTTAGTTGAGGCAGAAATGTAGGCCTCACGCTAGAGCAGTTGTTTTCAAACTGGGGAGCCCAGATCAGCAGTGGCAGCATCACCTGGGAACATGTTAGAAATGCACATTCTTGGGCCTCACCCATGACCCACCCAGTCAGAAACTCTAGGGTGGGCTCAACAATCAGTACTTTAACGAGTCTGCCCGGTGACCCTGATACACGCTCAAGTTTGAGAACCACAGGCCTAGAAGAAGCAAGGCAGGGGGCTTCTCTGTCTCTACTTTCTTTTAGGCACCCTGCAATGGGATGGGTGGTCCACAGTAGTGAGTTTCCTGTCAGTGGAAGCATTCAAGCTGATTCTGCAAGTCTGGGCTCTGGTCCTGACTCTGCTGCTTTTGGTGTGATTCAGCTCTAGTCAGCTCTCTTCTCTGGGCCTCAGTTTCCTCATTTGGAAAGTGAGCGGGGTGGGCTAAACAATGATGAACTAATGACTAATACATGTAAGCTGCTTTGTTCAGTATCTAGGATGCAAGGAGCACTCACAAAATGGCGTTCCTCTGTGGCTCTTCAGAGTGGCTTACTGTACTGCGTGGAGGTTGGGGCCTGAGAGACAGATGCCCCATAGGATTCCCAGAGTGAACCCCGCCCCCAGGACTTTTGCCCAGAGTGGTTCTCCCCTTCTCTGTCCTGCTTCTCCCACTTACTTACTGGTTTCTCCTGGGGGCCCTTCATTAATAAATCATTTGCGCGTGAATCCTTATGTTGGGATCTACTGCCAGGGAATCTGGCCTAAGACATTCCAAACCCCAACCTTTTGCAGGGGAATCCTCCAGGGTCCAGGCCACCCGCGGGGGCCTGCAGGAAGCCTATTGCTACCTTGCTGGCTGAGGTCGTCCACAAGGATGATCTCCTTCAGGAAGGCCCTGGGCGCTGTGTCAAGGATGCTGTGCACGGTTCTCAGTAGGGTGGACCAGGCCTCATCGTGGAAACAGAGGATGACGCTGGCCATGGGCAGGCTGTCCCTGGGGTGATGCCGCAGACACCTGCAGGGAAGAGAACCAGGGAGCCGTGGGAAAAGGAGGCTGCAGGAAGCCATGAGCATCCTCTAACTCATCCCCCAGACCTTGGCTGGGGCTGCAACAACCATAATGCTCTCCTCCCAACTCAACAGCTCTCCCGGGTTTTCTTAAAAGTCCCGTATAAGGAGACCCCATTACACTCCTTAATAGTGCAGTCTAGTATCTCCCAGTCTTTCAGATCCTCAGGAACTCCTTAACAATGTTAATCCATTCCCTACTTGTTGCAGATGAGAGGTGTTGCTACCGTTCTTCATCTGTAAAATGGGAATGAACGACATTACCAGCCTCATAGAACTTAAATAGGGTGATGCACATAGTAGGTGCCCTGTGAACACTAATGATCATCCATTAAAGGGCAAGGATCCTATTTTACTTCTTTTTGTAGTCCTATAACATGGAACAGCACCTGGCACATAATGAATCTTAGCTATAATTATTGCTGTTGCTGTTATTGTCATTATTATTGTTATCATTGAAGAGGGAACAAGGATTGAACATTTGTGAGTGCCCACCCCATGCCAGGCACTATGCCCTTTACACACACTACTACATGTTTATCCTATAAGAAGTCTATGGGTTGGGCTGTATTATATCCATTTTACAGATGAGGAAACTGAGGCTCTGAGAGGAGGTGAGATTCAGCAAAGGTTGCGACTCGAGTGGCAGAGCTGGATTTTAATATCTCTAAAGCCATCATGCCCTTTCCACCGCACTTGGCTGGCTTGTGGCTGGATACACGGGGGTGCATAGTGTTGCCTTCTACCTCTGCCAGGAGCCTGTCTGTGGTTCTCCCTCCTCTCTGGGTGATTAGGATGCAAGGTATTTGATTTGCCTTAGGTCTGTGGAGGATTCTGGGTGGGTCCACAATTGAATGAATTATAATAACAAGCCGATACAAGTAGTGTGTGGCTCACACTTGTTCACAAAAGGAACTTTCCTGTAATGCATTTCCAAAGGGTTTCTTTCTAGGTTGTAGCTGTTAAAAGTTTGTCCCTCCTCAGAGGAACATTTGTATTTGAATAGGAGTTGTCTCAAGGACCCGCAATTTGCAACATCTAAAAGAAGGCATCTCTGACGACAGCAGACCTGCTGCCTGAGACACAGACCAGTCTGCAAGGGTTCACTCTGGAGTGGTCTCTGGTTGACCTTGCCAAGGGACCACCACCTGAAATGGTGACAACCTGTGCTGCTCATTAGCTAAGTGTTCTTCTGCCTGGTACCGTCCTAACCAAAGCTGAAAGCTTCAATACACGGGAAACCTGTGTATAATTCTCAGGGCAAAATCTGACACAGAAGGGGGAGAACTGATACTTGGAAAATGCTTTAAGGTAATGGGAAAACAGAAATCCTAGACGATTAAAAAAATACCAGATATCTCATAAACTAGCTGTGCCAATTATTTTATTTATATACTGTATCTTTCCATAAAAGATTTAAAGCCATTCACAAAAATGCACACAAATAAAATAATGGTAAAATAAAAATGAGAATGAAAATTCAGGAGCAGGGAAATGTAAGTAAGTACATAAAGTCAACATTTGGAGAAAGAACATAAATATATAGGCCGTAACAGCCTGAATATTTCTAGAATGAATTTTTAATTTGACTCTGAGCTTCCTGGTAGCCAAAGTAAAATGGAAGAATCGTCACCATCAGAAAAATAACATACTAGGTTTTTTTTTTTTTAGGAAAAGCAATGCTCTTTTATCACTTTTTTTTCCTACATTTTATAACTTTATTTTGAAATAGTTTCTGAGTCATAAGTTGCAAAAATGGTACTGAGAGTTCCCGTGTTTCCTTTACTCAGCTTCCCCCGATGATAGTATCTTACATCACCATGGTACAAGGATCAAAATCAGGGAACCGACATTGTACAACACACTATTAACTCAAATACAGATCTCATTCTGATTTCAGCAGTTTTTAAATCCAGTACTAATTTGTGAAAGAAATTCCTATGACTTTAGGAAGAAGTCCCTAAATGGATGACAATATCCTTAAAAGCATCCTAAGATAAATATAATAATGAACTTCGTGTGAACTTTAACAGTCTGATCTCAGGGCTGTTCAAATCACATGTCCAAAGTGGAACCAGCTTCTCCTTAAGGCTTTGGGAAGGTGACTGTTGCAGTCTTTGCTGAGTCTTTTTATCACTCTTCCCCAGGCTCTCCTCCCCAATCCCCACCCTTACCTCCAACCCTTGTGGCACTTCCCTCCTCCAGTCCACCAGACTTGAGGGTTTCCACTCGGCCCTCAGAATTACTCCAGATCTGCCCACAAGCAGGTTCAACACACGTGTCCTTTCCCTTTCCATTGTGGTTCTGGGTGTAGACAAATCCAGGGCCGTAGGCTTGGGGCTACCTGTGGCTATGAAAAGACATCTTTCCTCAGTGAATTCACTGGGTGCAGAAAGAAACCTAAAACATTACTCAGGCAAATTGCTGGCTGGCTGGCTATGTTCCAACTCAGGTAGGACAGGAGTTCGGGGACAGAGGGGCTGGAATTTGGAAGAATTTCTTTAGGCGATTACTACAGGGGCTGAAGCTGATCGTTTCACAGCAGAATACCACCATGCCTGCCCCAGGTCTGATCTGTTCCTCTACCCGAATCCGCAGAATATAAGGATTTGAAACACCACAAATGTGTGGCATACGTATAAATATGTCCTGGTAGTAAGGTGGTCTAAGGAACTTAGACTTTGGAATCAGACAGATTTGAATCTTCACCTTGCTGCTTCCTAGTTTCCTTGAGGAATATACTCAGTATTTAAGCCTCAGTTTTCTTATCTGAAGAATAAGATGGTAATACTCACCCTTTGAACCTATTGTGAGAATAAATAATAATAATAATAATAGGCAGTCAATAAACAGTGGTTATTTACAGCTATCTTAGAAAAAGACAGGATAACATCATGTTATTGTATTACAATCGTCTTTGTAACATACAGCTGTCTTTAAACAATTCCAGTTGTTGTTAGCTGCCATTAAGTGAGCCCCCAACACACGGAGACTCCATAGTTGGTTGTGGGATCAAATTATTGTGCTCCATGGGTTTTCATTGATTGATTTTTGGAAGTAGACTGCCGGGCCTTTCTTCCTAGTCTGTCTTAGTCTGGAAGCTTTGCTGAAACCTGTTCAGCATCACAGTGACATGCAAGCTTCTCCTGACAGATGGGTGGTAGCTGCGCTTGAGGTGCATTGGCTGGGAATTTAACCAAAGTCTCCCTCATGGAAGGTGAGAGTTCTACCACTGATATGCCTACTGAACCACATTCAAGTTTCACTTTTCTCATTTGCACAGTGGGAATGCCACGGCCCATCTCAGAACTTTAAAGTCTGATCAATTGCGTAGCACTTTGCCTGGCAGGTAGTAGGAATTCCATCAACAAAAGAAATCTTATTTAAACTCTGGCTCTTGAAAATGACACCCCATGAATGTTCTGAAAAGTCAGAGATGGGAGAGCTTCTTGCTCTGTTAACTAGCTGTTGTTGTTGTTAGATGCTGCTGAGTGGGTTCTGACTCATAACGACCCTATGTACAACAGAACAAAACACTGCCCGGTCCTCTGCCATCCTCTCAATCATTGCTATATTTGAGCCCATTGTTGCAGCCACTGTGTCAATCCATCTCATTGAGGATCTTCCTCTTTTTTGTTGACCCTCTACTTTACCAAGCATGATGTTCTCCTCCAGAGACTGGTCCCTCCTGATAATATATCTAAACTACCTTAGTTGAAGTTTCGCCTTCCTCCCTTCAAAGGAGAATTCTGGCTGTACTTCTTCCAAGATAGATTTGTTTGTTCTTCTGGCAGTCCATGGTAGATTCAACATTCCCCGCCAACACCCTAATTCAAATGCATTAATTCTTCTTTGGTCTTCCTTATTCATTGCCCAGACTTTAACACATGAGGCGATTGAAAATACCGTGGCTTGGGTCAGCAGCATGTTAGTCCTCAGTGACATCTTTGCTTTTTAACACTTTAAACCTAAACCAAACCCACGGCCATCGAGACCATTCCAACTCACAGCGACCCTATAGGACAGAGTAGAACTGCCCCATCGAGTTTACATTAAAGAGGTCTCTTGCAGCAGATTTGCCCAATGCAATGAGTCTTTTGATTTCTTGACCGCTGCTTCCATGGGTGTTGATTGTGGATCCAAGTAAAACGAAATCCTTGACAATTTCAGTCTTTTCTCCATTTATCATGATGTTGCTTATTGGTCCAGTGGTAAGGATTTTTGTTTTCTTTACGTTGAGGTGTAATCCATACTGAAGGCTGTGGTCTTTGATCTTCTTCAGCAAGTGCTTCAAGTCCTCCTCACTTTCAGCAAGCAAGGTTGTGTCATCTGCATATCACAGGTTGTTAATGAGTCTTCCTCCAATTCTGGTGCTCTGTTCCTCTTCATATAGTCCAGCTTCTTGGATTATTTGCTCAGCATACAGGTTGAATAAGTATGGTAAAATGATACACCCCTGATGCACACCTTTCCTGATTTTAAACCATGCAGTATTCCCTTGTTGTGTTCAAACGACTGCCTCTTGGTCTATGTACAGATTCCACATGAGCACAATTAAATGTTCTGAAATTCCCATTCTTCACAATGTTATCCATAATTTGTTACGATCCACACAGTCGAATGCCTTTGCATAGTCAATAAAGCGCAGGTGAACGTCTTTCTAGTATTCTCTGCTTTCAGCCAAATCCATCTGACATCAGCAATGATTTCCCTTGTTCTGCATCCTCTTCTGAATCCAGCTTCAATTTCTGACAGTTTCCTGTTGATGTACTGCTGCAAACACTTTTGAATGATCTTCAGCAAAATTTTACTTGAGTGTGATATTAATGATATTGTTCGATAATTTCTGCATTCTGTTGTATCACCTTTCTTTGGAATAGGCACAAATATGGATCTCTTCCAGTTGGTTGGCCAGGTAGCTGTCTTCCAAATTTCTTGGCATAGATG